AATGACATCCTTATTTAACATTTTGATCAAGTTCATATGTTTTGTATTCGCGTTTTTTACTGGCTTATATATATTTCCCTGGTAGTCATTTTCTTAAACAATCTGTTCTAGGAGTGGTTATTTCACCTCATATTAAATCCTTTATTGCACCTTTGAATGTTTTGATTCTACTAGATTTAATAAATCTAAATTATATAGTAATTGAGATAGCTGATGTGAGCTTGATCTATTTTGTTCTTTATTATATGTGGTAGATTCGGTTCTTTATTGTAAGTATCATTGTAAAACTTACTAATTAATAATCATCCTATTTGCACCACGAATCCTCCCTCCCACTAGGCCCATTTCTTAACAAGCAAACGGGAATGACATATTATATATAATCATAATATTGAAGTATTTCCAGCTATTTAAGGATTTGAGCCAATGCTTATCGTCTTTAAAAAAAACAATGACTTATTAATCTTTTTCGAACATTGACATATCTAATTAGAACAATTTGGTTGTAAATAGACCACGTTCATTCTTTTATACCAATAATACCAAAATCACCAATCAACTATAAATGTATACCTTCCCATGTTTCTCCTTGGTACCACCCATGCATGAAAGAACGAAAAGATAGCTCAGACAACAGAGGGAGAGGGAGTGAGATTTACAACAAATTGGCAAAAAACTAAGATAAATAATCTATTGGATATCGACTGGAGTAGCATGACAAACTGTTTACATAGAACAAGCTTGAAAATTGCGTCTTTTGAGTAAATTTACATTTTACAATAAGAATTTTACTTAACCTTCCTATAATTATATTCCAATTTTCATATATTTATAGGAAGAACCATGGAACTTATAAGATTTACAGATTAACCCCTATAAGCTTCCAAAAAAGAAAACCTCAAAAACAATATAAGTAGTCTAAGATTTTGATGATAAGAAAATTATCAATAAGTCCTCAAAGGTTTCTATAACTACATTCAAAATGAATTGCTTTAAATATTTACATAAAACGAGTATATCCACATGCAACGCACGTGCACTATACTAGTATATATCAAAAGACAAAAGGAACCTTATTCAGTTGGGAACAAGATTTTGATGGACTTATTCAATGTTCATATAGAGCTCTGATGGATTTTTACAGATTAAAGGTTTATGTAGATTGTTGAGGCTAGACGCTTTTGTTCCTTGAATGGGTAGTTTTCCCTATATGCTTTTGTGATTTATGAAAGCGACATTAGTCTACCAAACACATCAATACTAGTAAATAATGGAAAGAACAATGGATGAAATACAAACAATATATCCATAATACCAATGCACAAACAATGCCCTAACATTACCATAAACTATCTAATTCTGTCCATCAAGATAGATATTTCCTCCATCTTTGACTTTTTAACACATACTTATTCTACACTTCCCAGTAAGTTGCACATAATCTGTCACCTATTGTTTCTTATGGAGTTTCAAAGTACATAATTTTGTCAAACTCTCACTATGAGAGGATCTCTCATGTAATGCAAAGTTTCAAACAACGAAAACAATCAACAGAATAACATATTTATGGTAAACAATTAGACAACAATTATAATAATCTTCCAATATAGGATTAAGAAAAATATAGGATCACAAATACCTAAGGATCATATCACTATTTATAATATGATAAGAAAAAACTTATAAACATAAGATCCTTTATTTTTTGTATTTCCCAACAAAGGTGTGGAGTCCTTCATTCAGAATATATTGCAAATAACAAGTCTCTTCTTCTTAGACATCATAAAATTTTTGAAGCAAAAGACCCAATCCTGATGTAACCTATGTTGAATAACAAAAAAAGACGTATCGAACAAAAAAGGCAGCAGTCAAAACCAGTGTGTATCTATTTCATTATGAACTAGTATCCAAGACTCCGAAAAGTTCGATAATGTCAGCAGGAAGTAACCCCAGGATTGCCAAAATTACACCCGAAAAAATATATGTGTGCCTACGTGTGGCATGCTAGAGCATGTGACAAAATACATTCTTTCCGAAAAAAGGGAAATTCCCTAAGAATAAGGTTGATTATAGAAAACCTCCCTAAACTAGCGCCCTTTGTCATGATACCACCTAATGCTTTTTTTCTCTCACTTAAGAGCTAAGAGCATCAGTCCCACTACCAAATATATATTATGTTAATTTCCTACAAAAAATATATATTCTTAAATGTGAATTTGTGAAGTTAAATCTTTGGCTCTAATTTGACTAAACAAATGGAAATATAGTCAAAGGTGAAGTCAACAAGGAGCATTGGCCTTTAGCTCGGATTGGGTGACAAATGAAAGAGAGAGAATGTGAGGGGTTTCGATTTGGGTTTTCATTCAGGTTTGGGTTTGGGAACGAGAATGGAATGGGAGAAGATAAGGAGTCTAGGATTTTAGTTTGGAGAGATTTGCAAAATGAGGAAGAAGATAGACGAAGAAGGTAAATAGTTGGTTACGCCTACAAAGAACCAGCAAGCAAGAAAAGAGAAGGTTTCTTGCTTTAGCAAGAAAAGAGAAGGTTTCTTGCTTTAGTTTGAAAATGAGTGAGAACAAAGAAGATTTATAGGAAAAATACAAGGATGTTACAGTATAAAGCTATAGCGTCAACGCTCACTACAACTTCAGAGTATTGATGAAGCGGAAGGGCTTCATGCTTTAGTTTGAGGTTGGGTTGGGAAATGACTAATGAATCAGAACAGAGAGGATTTAGAGGAAAAATATACGAGTATTAGAGTACAAAATTATAACTCTCAATGCTCACACAACTTTGGATTTGATGTGAATGATGTTTGTTTGTTTATCTAAAAATCAGTGTTATCAATGCGCGAGGCGTGATGCGGGGCGCAAAGCATCTTTACACGCACATGCACAAGGAGCAACGCGATGCGCGCGCTCGAGTGATGCGAGACGCACACCGCCCACATAATTTTTAAAATATATAATCATGCGCGAAAGAACATGTTTTTAGAATTCACATGAAAAATATCATGATAAATAATATCTTACTACAAAATCACAACATAATGCCTTAATTTCTAATGCTATCACCCAACATAGTAGCAAAATTCATAAATTTTCAAATAAAATGTTAAATCAAGACTAATATCCAAGCAAATGATTAATAATGATCCTTAATTGAAGGCTACTAAAAAGGCCTAATGGATTTAATTTGTTTTTTGGGATATGTAATATCAAGTATAAAGACTAGATTGAAAATGTTAACAAACAAAACTATATGAGGATATGTACTACATGGACCCTGCACAAAGTAAGGATGTACGTGAGGCGCAAAAGGCGCTGCTGCATCAGAAGTGGGGCGCTTCGCCACCGCCTCTCATCGTAAGGCGCATGAGGCGCAATGAGGCACGCGCCTTTGAAAACACTGCTAAAAATATAAAAAATTAATTCAGGCTTGAGAAAAGGTTTCTTTGCATATCCATACTCATCTTAGTAAAGTGTTTTTCCTCTGTTCATTTGCTATAAATCCATGAAATCGGTTTCATGGATTTCCAAGCATTTTCATTGTTTGGAAGTAAAAAAAAAAGAAACCTAACACCTCTAACCAATAAAATATTCTTAATTAGTGTTGGGTTGAAAAAGCAACACCAGCCACCCAATAAAATAATCCCCTAAAGTAGTGTTCCAAGAAATTTTAGCAAAAAAATGTTGAAATTGCTTTCCTAGTTTTGATGACGTTTTACTTGATTTTTGGGAATATGAATTCCTAAAAAATGTGGTCATCCAAACTTAAGAGAAGGAAACATTTATAAGAAATGAGTTTTTAAGGGTATGTTAGACCCCAACATGTCTTATTCCTTATTTTCTCATTACACCAAACATCCGTGGTTGGGAAGGTCCTTTGACATGCTATCAAAGCAATCTAGTTTCAAATCCCACATGCCACAAATTTATAGCAGCATTAAGAGAAAATAGATTTTTTTGAAGTGGAATTAAGAAAAATAGGTATATTTTGCGTAAGTCCAGATTTTGACTCATAAAAAGGTTGGTCAGCCTATTGTTTTAAATATCCCCGACATGACCCGATATATCTTTTTACAGGGTTTGCCCCAACCGATATGGTCTTTAAATATCCTTTACCGCTTTTTGGCTATTTTGAGTGATAAATCCCCGATATGGCCGATATATTAGCTGATATGTGGACCAATATATCTTTTTATATAGCTTGTTGCAAAATAATATACCGTGTTTGGAATTTTTGGGCGAGATATCAAGATTTTCCCATTATATCAAATGATATTTTGCCCTAAAAAAAGCAGATCGAATGTTGCAACGTTGCTTTGCACTTTTGTTTGTTTTAGAAGGTTGATTAGTGATCCTAAACATATATTATTCATATTTTGTATGCTTAAATTTTTATTACGTATGTTGAGATTACATTTTAATGCATTATACTATGTATGCAAACATTCATTATGGCATTCTGATATTTACCACATATCCCCGATATTTCCCCGATATTCGCAATCCGACATGAATTTTGACCATCCGATATTTCCCCGATATCCGATATTTAAAACCTTGTTTCAGCCCACAGGGGCATGTTAGAGTATGAAAATTATAACCCTCAAAGTCGATGCTCACCACAACTTTGGATTTTTGATGTAGTGGAAGGGTCCTTTGACGAAGACTAACCAATTCAAAACCAAGAATAAATAAGAATTACAGAAGAGGGTGGAGGTTACGTGAGAAAAAACATAAAGGAGTTAAGTGAAAAATGACCAAAATTTGCCTTTCTGTAATTAACCCTTAAAATTAACAAATGCTTATTAGCTAGCAAAGATTTAAATAGCAGTACCAAGACGTGAAATATTCATTTGCCATTTGCTACATATTCGATGTCAAATATCTGTTCGTGATAGCATGTTTAATGGTTTGATGCTTAAAGAAAGTTTCTGCACTAACAAGACAGTATAATAGATCACACAAATAATAGCAAGGTCACTGTGTACTCACTTGAGGTATGATATTTTTCTCCATTGCATCCTTAAAGAGAGGGGGAGGAGGCAGGTCAAGACCAAGCATTAGGAATGGCACTCTAGATGTCTCAACATTGTTTAGCCCCTCCCCCGCGACAACTGTGTTGGCCTGTTCATCTTCAGTTCCAGTTCTCTCAAGTAAAGACCTCCTCTGGATCTCCTTCACAACTTCCAACTCCCCCTGCAATGCAATGCTGATTGAATACCAGGAAAATTTTAAACCAAACTACCATACATAAATAAAAGAACACTAGAAGCATAAATCTGATACCTGAAAGCAGTCGTGAATGATGCTTTTATTTTTCTTCTTTGAATGTTTGAGTTTCGCATGTAATGTGTTCAGTAACCAAGACATGAATTCTACTGGATCTGATTGTACACCTATTTGGAATTTCTTATTACTTTCTTTCATAACAGCCTGAAGAAACTCATGAGGGCTAACCTGTGAGAAAAAGATGTAAGAGGTTGATTCCATGCAGATCAGCAAAATGTATAACAAGTGTCATCAAGGATAAATATCTGGAAATCAACCTGTCCCTTAAAATTTCGTGCATGCCAAATTTTCCGTGTGAGCTCTCCAAACCGCTGAACAAGTGGAGACTTGCTGTTTTGATAATTTTCAGGGATGAGAAAGAAGTTCCTTAAGGGTGTAACTCGCATTAATGACTGAATAGTGACATTAACAAAATCAGTCTCTTTGATGTTGTTAAGCCCCACCTGAAAAGGATAAAAGGTCATGAACACGACTTCTAATGAGTACCTTGCATGCAAAAATTATCCTTTAACTTGCTTTCAGACCGCAAAAAGAACAATTTACAGAACTACATTGCAGAATAATCTATTATGCAAATAAAAAAAACTCTCTCCTAGATATCCAATATAACTAGATGTATATTTACCATTCCAGGGAGATAATTGGAACCATCAAGGGCCCTTGACCATTGCCTATTTTCATCAAGATGCAGGACTTGTTCCCTGGTAAACCTGCAAATACAAATAATTAACAGCCTTATAGTGCTTCAAGTTTCAATTAAATGGTAGGAAAGAATAATGCAAATGGAAGGTAAATGAGTTCCAAAAAAACACAAATATTTCATGTATCACAAATATTTGTCCAATCAAGAAACAAAAGATATCCCGTAACTGAAAATTCAAATTATAATCTTCTTTTTATCCAATTACATCCCTGTTCTTTTAGTAGCAAAGTTGTGTGAGAGAGAGAAAAGGCAGCATGCTTACATGAGAAACAGAAGAGGTAGCACTACACCTATGCTACATTTTTAATAAAAGGATAAACTCCTCTATATATTCACAAGGTTTCTAGTCACCTTCAAAAGAACATTTTGGAAAACAAACTTCTGCATGAAAAATTAAAAAAAAACAGAAAAAAAAAATTCTAACCTTAAACATGTACAACATTAACTTTTGGGAGGGCTAGAAATATAGCGCAATGGGAGGAAATTTTTAAGTTGTCTGATTGGGTAATGAGTGAAAGTGCAAGTTCTTTCTTTCATGTTTCTTGTTGTCTGCCAGTTCATAAGAATGTTTAGTAAAGGATGACTTTACTCTCTCAAACTTTTTGTCCAAAAGAGATGTAAACATGATATTTAGGCATTCAAGCTTAACAAACAAGGAAGAGATGCATACTAAAATGCTTTATGAGGAAGCAATAATACCTTGGGTTAAGAACATGTCGAATATCATCCAACGATGGATCATTGATTTCATAACCATCAGGGAGGCAATAAACTTTCTCAGTTTGAAGATTAATATACACATGGTGCCCTGCTTCAAGACTATGAGTATATGCATGAGAACTGAGACCCCTTCCTTGAAAATACTTCCCACAAACTAAGCATGCATATACATTCAAATTCGACAAAGAGATAGAACAGAACTTCTCAAAATCAAAGTCCAACACCTACACAAGCACACAATATCAAGGTGGGGGGGGGGGGACAACAATTGAACTATACAGATACAAGCAGCTACAATGTAGTTATAACCCTAACATACAAAACTTTAATCAATCGACAACAAGAAGAAACTCTAAAATCTCACCTGTCGATTAACTCGTATCAAGATAGGGGCAATGCCTTCGAAGCTCCACCATCCTCGTGCGTCTTCGACGGCGGCGGGGCGCACTTTTGTCACGTGATCCTTATCATCCTCATCGTGCCCGTTCTCTTGGGCTCTACTCCTCTCGTATTCGTCCTCGTCGTCGCTGTAGCGAGCGATCGAGAGGAGAGAATCGTTGTTAGGGATCTCTTCGTCTCCTTCTTCTTCAACTCTCGGTGCTTTCCTTTGATGGCCGTCTTCTACTCCTTCGAGCACTTCTTGATGTTTTCTCTTTCCTAGGGTTTCTTCCATTGAATTAATTGGATCTCAAAACCCTAGAAATCGAAGCGGGAAGATGGGGATAATGGAACAAGGCTGCTGTTTGATCGGCGATTGGGAACCTTCTGGTAAAAGCTAAGAACAGTAAATAGGTTTAATTTAATATGGATCCGACCCGACTCGACCCGTTAATCACAACGGACCTAGAGTTTGGTGACCGCTTTCGTCGATATTTGGGCCAAGCCCAAAACAAGCGACTTGGGGATGAAATCTTTCTCCAAAAGAATCAATTTTCTGCCTCCTATTATATACTCTCTCTTTGGTTTCACTGGAAACTTTTTCCTCTTTGAGAGATGGAAGATTTAGGATGTACTTGGTATTGGTTTAGCGAGCCTCCCATTTTGATACTTCTCGCGATTTCATCAGTGAAGGTCTCGCTTCTTTGCGAAGGTCGGAAACCGAACCCCGTTATATCTGTATCTTTTTAGGCGCCCCCTCGATTTTTACTTTTCCGTTACTTTCAATATTTTTGTGCTTGATCTGTATTCTGTAGAAGTAGAACTACATCTCTCTAGCTCAGCTTTGTACTGGGCCTCAAGGTCTACAAAATCCAGGGCTTATAGCTCAAACAAACGTGAACCTGGTCTGCTTCTTAATATTCCTTGCTTTCAACTCCATATTTATAGGAACTTTGCTTTACACAACAACAGTGCATGTTTTCCCTCCGACTGCATGAACATGTTAAGATGGTCAATTATTAGTACCCAACAAATCCATTAGCACTCATAATCTCTAATTTCCATGAAACACTTCCGTGTCAATATAGAACAAGAGACGGGAGGGACTTCGCTGTTAATGTAGAATTATGGCAAAATTTCAACACAGGCGAATATAAGTAGGCAAGTATCAATTAACTAGACCAGTTCTTGGATAGTTTTCATAAAGTCTTTTTTAAGTTAGTTTGGCCGATAATAGAAATTAACAGAAGCAACACCAAATAGATACAGAAATGAAAAAGAAGAAGGCCAATGTTGAAGTTCAGTCATCAACCCAGCCACCAGATAGGCAATTAAACAGAAGGACAAACTTTCAAGCTCAGTCTTCAATCCAACCACCGGAGCCTTGGTGCGAGTACGGAGGCAGTGGCCCTGGAGCAAAGCCTTTAGGACTAGTATAGTCTTCAATCCAACCACCGGAGCCTTGGTGTGAATATGGGGGCAGTGGCCCTGGAGCAAAGCCTTCGCGACTAGTATATGCGTAGCTCCTTTCATCTGTAAACACCTCGAAATTTGGAACTACTTCGAATGAGCTTTCATAGGCACTTCTATTTGCGGGTGAGATATCCATGTCTGAAGATTCACCTATTTCTCCTTCCTTCAATACATCAAGACGTTCTTCTATTAGTTCTCTACATTCGACACTTGTCCTCAACTCAACAGCTCTTGGACTAGCTTCCTTGTCTCTATCGTAAAATGTAGGTTCAATGGGTGGATGGTCATGACAAGAAGCAAATTCTTGAGTCCCAGAAATGTGGCCCATTTCCAAAGCTATGCCCTTGTGTTTTCCTGTCCAGTCACGTCGACTCCATAAATATAATGGCGGTGACTTCATATTCCAAGTATCCATTTGCTTCTCTTCTGTGTCAATTGAACCCGGCAAATAGAACGACTGCATCATAGAGAAATATGTTACAATGAATTTTTTTCTCTACGATAGTTAACTATTATCGATCATACCTTTCCTGAGAGCTTTTCGCGATCCTCCCAGATAAGATCATATGGTGGATTTTTCCTATGTAGTCTGATCACAACAAAGTATTTTTAGAATATCCATGTCCCTTGGACAATAAAAAAGAGCAAGATATATGGTTAACAATCATTTATACCTTTCAGTCTCCTCAGGGACGATAAGGATAAGGAGCTTTGGTCGAAATGTTAAAGCTTTGTCAATGAATTTGTTTGCTAAAGCTGCATTGACTCCAAAAGGAGGGTTGAGACCCATGATCTATGGAACGAGAAATTCAAATTAGTTCTGATTTTTCCAGATGACTTTGAAAAAGAACTCATAACGACAAGAAACAAGTATGCCAAGTGCATGCTTGCATACCAACCGAGACCCATCTGCCAATTCTTTAGGGTCCACCGTCATCCAATCTCTCTTTTCAAAGTTGAAATCATTCTGTAAACATTAGTGATTATATAATTTACTGGTGAAGAAAATATAAAGATGAATAAGAGCATGACATGGTCTTTAATGTGTAGCTCATACAAAACAGTCAATACTATTGTAGCAGATTGCTAAAACCATTAATTAAGTATAACTATTTCATTTGGTAATTAGGATAGTATATGAATTTGCACAATAAGTTATTAAAATTTGCATAATTCTTCCACAAACTACAGAATTTGACAAAAAAACAATTTTATGCCGGCATATATTCAATGTTTGAAAAAGCTTCATTGAAACTCGCTTCGGAACTTTTGGAAGGGTAAAGGCTTCGAAACTCAAGAGTGAAGCTGTTTATTTCTTGAAGTTTAAGCCTCATTGCTGCATAACTGAAGCGTGCGATTTGCGCCTCATAAAGTGCTTCTCTTTTGAAGCGCACGCTTTACACAAGATATGAGGATATAAAAGGATATTTTACTAACATTAAAATGTCCCTATGTATCTTTAGTATGACCATGTGAGTGTAAATATGATATAAGCTATGCACGAAGTTTAGTTTATTATGATTTGTGCTACACATAATTCTTATTTACTAATCAGGACATGAATGTATCTATTTGTAAATTATTATACCACTATCTATTATATGTTCATACTTTTTACAAATTTAAAATTAAAATACTTAAACTGATGAGATTTACGCCTCGCTTTGAAGCTTACGCTTTGCTTCATTAAAGGGTCTAATGCTTCATCTTATGCTTCCGCTTTTTTAAACATTGTCATATGAATACTCATGCCAAACACAAAAGAATAGTACATAGAAGACTAGATCCAACCGTGTAGCATAAGGATGATTGCTGGATCCTACTCTACAATTAAACGCCTATAAAAAGGAGAGGATCAAATTTGATATTCATGCTCCAAATCTTTGAACGGGGTATATTCTTAACATGAGAATGCATAAACTGCTATCCAGCATCTACCTCAATACTCTTCTGTTATTAGATGCCTGTAACAGGAGAGTGACTTATTTGATGTTCATGTTGCAAATCTTCAGAGTATATGCTTCAGATGAGGATGCATAAACTGATATATATCCCAGCTCACAAGTGAAAATTTTTGAGGAAGGATATTTGCACTCTAATTATCCCATTTTTGGAGAGGCCCAGCCAATAAGTTGCTACAATAAGTTGCTAGTGAAACTAAGGTTCAACCATCATCCCTGCTTAACTGCAAAGACCCATGATGGGATAGACTAATTTGCTTGGACCCATAATGGCTTGAAGGATTTATCTGATTTGAGTCAAAAGTTCACATATATTTAAACATATGTACATGTAAAAGCTTTTTTTCTGATATGGAACTAAATTTTAACTGCTGATTTGAGTCAGAAGTAGCCCGTTTATCCCACCTCCAATAATATTATACCCCTTACGTATAATGTTAACCCAGAACTTTTTTATTGCTATAAGAAGGGGAAAGTTTCCATAAGCTCCAAGAAAAAGTTAAAGGCATGTGAATCCAACAAAGCCATTCTGAAATTTTTTCCTTATAATAGTCAGTTAAAGAATTCAAGAATAGAACGCTTGAACTTATAAAATGATGTCATAAGTTAAAACAATACCTTAGGTTGAATGATATCATAATTCTTGAACAAGCATCTTTTACCAGTTGCATCAAGTTTTTCCTTCATCAGCTTACTAAAATCATTAGCCCCGCAACAGAAGTCAACTATCTGGAAAAAAGAAAAAGGGCATCTTGAATGAGATTGATCAAGTAAATTTACTAAAAGCCAGATATAAATAATTTAACATGTTGTGTAAAGCATAAAAGTTAAATAGTCGACTGAATTTTTTTTTCCCGGAAACATTATGTACAAGACTCTTCCGAAATTAAGACCATTTGTCATCGCAAAAGATAGGAAATTTAATAATCAAGCTACAAAACAGTCCATGATTTTCTGCTCTTAACTTATGCAAATGAAGAATGAATAAATCAAAAACAGAAGGGAAAAAAAAAGAGAGACAACGATAGCCATACAACTTGATACAATGTGGATATAACAACAAAAACAAAAAGATACAAGGTGATACAGTAAACTAAGACATAGGTATGACATGGATATGTCAAAAGTTATATGTAACATAGTTACTGGTAAATTACACTAAACCCCCCAAGAGCTTTCAGCACTTTGCAGTAAAGCCCCAATAACTTTCAAAATCGCACTAAACCCCCCCAATAAATGTTACAGAAAACCCCCCTATCTTTTGGCTAAATTATAAATATAGTTACTGGTAAATTACACTAAACCCCCCAAGAGCTTTCAGCAGTTTGAAGTAAAGCCCCAATAACTTTTAAAATCACACTAAACCCCCCCAATATATTTTACAGAAAACCCCCTATCTTTTGGCTAAATTATACTAAATCCCATTAACTTCCAAAATGCCTTTGTTGTTTTTTGGTTCTAATTTATGGGGGGTATCCGCAAAATGCAGAAACTTATTTGGGCTTTCAGCAATTTCAAAAGTTATTGGGGGTTAAGTGTGATTTTGAAAGTTATTGGGAGGCTATTGCAAAATGCTGAAAGTTCTTGGGGCTTTAGTGTAATTTACCCTATAGCTATACATGCATATGCATCAAAAGGATGCCATGTGATATGGCTACACACTACACAGATATGGCAAATCCTCTAAGATAATGGTAGTGCGATACATTGTAGATACAACAGTCATAAAAATAACATGTGTATCTTAATCAGTTAAATAAACAATCATGTTTTTATAAGAAACTGGACAATTTATATAAATACAATGCATCTTCAAACCATGCATTTTGAGCCCCTCATTCAAAGGTTTAATTTTTAACCTCTTGTTGTTAGATACATCGATAGTTCTCAATATGTTTAAGATACAGCGAAAGCAGTATCTAACACATGCCCATCATGCAAAAGAGCTTCCAAGTTCAGATATGTATCTGATATGGGTGTGTTCTCCTTTCAAGTGAAACTACTACATAATATGCATAGCTTTATTGTAATTTGAAGTAAGAAGTATATTAGGACATTAAGATGTAATAATTGCAATACTTCCTTTTTAGGTTATGAAAATGCAAAGGTAATAAATATTCTTTCAACAGGTAGTAACGGAATCAGTAGTAGATTGTCTTCTTATATTAATAAATTATATGCTTTACATCACATTTCAGTTTCAATTTTAGGGAAATGTTAAGGAAAATATGAAGTGTGAAGTATTTCTGCATTCATGTGTCTACCCAGATATGTATATTTGTGCACAACATACGTGAATATTATACACTGGTTGAGAATCTGCCACTCAGACGATGACATTCATCCTGACAGCATAATGGACCATTGGCTCTATGGGCTCTTGACTAGATTTCTTACACAATATTCCTAGCAAGATTCTTTGACTAATTCATAAGCTTCAAATGTTTATCTGAAGATTTAGCATAGAAAACAAGAAATATAGAAAAGGAAATGTTGACAAAACGGAAATTGAGTCTGGACCATAAAAAAATCTGAATGACAAGAAATCAGATCTTTATTCTTACCACAATTAAGCAAATCTGAAATGTAAATAAAAGATTGAAATAAAAAAAGAATCATATACTTATCCTTACCACGTCACCACTTTGTACGTACCACTGAAGCTTATCTACAATCTGCATGAAAATATCATTCATCGGTATCATGAATATTCAGGAACACCTTAAGATAGTCATCCTTCTATAATTCTGTAAAGCTTGTATATACATCTACCACATGATTATCCTACATAAACTTCAAAAACATCTTTTTTGTATGATTATAGCTAGCAAGAAATAAAAAATTGTGCCAGAAATATAAATAATGAACAATTAAAAAGTAATTAACTAAGGGCTTAAGTATTCAATATCATCAATTTAACATACACACACACCCACACAAGCCCATACGCACACACACATATCCAGCGGGATGATACCATCAGTTTCCTTGGTAATATAGTGCAAGCAATATGTCAACATGAATTTGAAATAGGAGCTCAGTTTGTCTACATTTTCAGATTAAAATATGCTCAAAAAGTTGGTAGCCACCTCCAATATGCAAAATAAATGTAAAAGAAATAAGCAGACAAGTCAAAAAAAATGAAAACTACTCATAGCAAATTGTGAATCTATGCCCTGACCTCCTTAAGCTTGTCCAACTTTGTGAAATGGCGACCAAAAGATGTATAGCGCATGCCATGGAGAAATGGTGCGAGATAAACCTTGAAGTTCTTCTACAGCAAGAGAAAAGGTTTCCACAATGTAAGATATTAAACTACAGATTGGCAACTAAATTATGAAATGTCAACTGATTTATCATCGTTTTAGAGTGAATATGTTGGAGATATCAAAATAATATTCACAAAGAGATAATGATAAGAGAAAAATGATAAGTTAGCAACTACAAACTTAAACATTGAAATTATATTCCTTGCATATAACACTGGATATTTTAACCTCAAGGTCCAGGTTACGGTGTCTCAATACATCTACAGAAGATTATGTAAAGATTGCAATTAGGATCATATTTTAGTAAATTATCTAGCATAGAGAATTATCACGAGTAATAATTACAAAGAAGTTTATCAGTGTGCCTTCCATTAGTACAGCACGACATGCACTCAACACTAGATATAAATATAAATCTCAAATTTATAAATAACCAGTGCCAGACCCTTTTTTAAACAGATAAAGACATGAAAAAACAACAGCAGCAGCTATGCAGCTACTACTTTTATTCATGTAGGAAGTTTAATTATGATGTGTCAAGTAGCATTTTTCATAATTCACCATTATTCAATCTTCCAATAGCTTTGTTTTTCATGGACGTAACTGGCAGTTCCAACATATAATTTCTCAGAAATATTAGCAAATATTTTACAGATTTTTTTTGTAACTATTTACCATATTAATGATTATATTCTGTAATCAATAACTTACATTACTAATTTTTTTCATAAACACACATGCTTCATTTGCTTGCTAGTGTATACGCTTTGTGATTACAAAGTAATGATGATTTCAAAAGGCTACAAAATATGCCAAATGGTTAATTGACAAAATATGTATTGATTATATATTTTGATTGTGAAATTCTCCAGAAAGAATAATGTATCAAAATAAACTAGAACCATATTCTTCAGCAAATATGGTTTTAGAAAGTACTATATATACATACCCTCCACCTAAGTATTTGGTTGAGTATTTTGGGTTCACAGATCATTTTCGCCTCATCAATGCTGCCGCCAGCTTCCAGCTTCTGTATAGCCGTTCGTATAGCCTACAACATCATAATTTACCAAATTAGTGTTTTTATTTTACCATATTCAGCAATATTCAACCTATGCAATACATAAAGTACCTCAACAGAACCCTCCACCTTCCCCAGTGTAACACCCTTGATAGTGTGCCTCGCAGAATGAGCATATGTAGACGGAACTGTGTGCTTCTTTCTTACATCTTCAAGTGTCAATGAAGATGATACATCATCCATAAGAGTTTTCAGTCTACAGTGCAACATATGGGGGAAATTTTTTTTTTTAGTTTAACACTGAAAATGGTCTTTAACAAGAGAAGAGTTGATCAGGGCATCACTACGCTACCATGGAGGGAAGTCTTAACCCTAGTTGATTAGTTATGCAAGGAAACAAAAGCCTAGTAAACTTAGAACTGTTAGGTGACAACATCTCTTTTATTCTGTTAACACCCATATGTTACAATCTAGAATTGAAAGAATAAGAACTAGGACTAAGTGAACTCTTTCACACATAAAGATTATCCTAAATGAAATTCACAAGTTGGCTATGATAAATGAAATCTAAAAGTAAGAGTTAACCAAGATACAAAAACATGTTTTTCACTGCATAACAAATAAAAGAAATTGAGTGTTCAGATATATGATATACACACAATTACCAATAAGTGCGCGAGAATGTTGACTAGACTAATTAAGCATAAAATCACTTGAACCCAAAAATTGTAGATACAAGAAGAAAATTTTCTACTTAGAAGGTATAAAGCTGAAGCATCTTACCTCTGTACGGTTTCAATATCTGCAACAGGAAACGAACTATAAAATTTCTTCTCAATGGGATCCATAGAAGATGAGCACATTGAATCTTTGTTCTTACCATTCATGGATGCCTTCAAACAATAAGACGATGTGCTTTTCATTTTCTTAGTATCTGCTCGGCCACTTCCAACTGAACAACTTTTGTCTATGTTCGAATGCTTTCCATTCAGTTTATGTGATTTTACAGAAGGTGGTTGCATGGAGAACTCATCATAAATCTTCCTCTTCTTCATTACAATCTTAATTTTGTTCCTCTTTTCAGGGTTCGCAGGGAATATTATGTGAGTTCTAATAGGCGTCTTAAGAAAATTATCTATCTTATGTTTCCTGGGAAATACAGTATAAGCATTCATGTAAGTACATCAAGTAAACATAGAATGAGAAATTAAAACCATCAGGACTACTAAAAGGTGAGCATACATGCAATATATCAAGATGCGCTCCTCAAGAAGATCATCCCAAGCTCTCTGCAAAACACCTAGACCTGAATCTTCAAAGACAATCTTCCTGGGGATTTGCAATACAAAGGCAGTGTCTAAATTAACATGAGGTAATTGCAATTTAAAATAAAATAGATTAATAAAGATAAGTGCATTTATCTAAAATTATGGAAAGATTTGTTCGCGAAGACTTGGAAATATTGTTGTAAGAAGCAGCCTATATAATGCAGCCTCAAAGCTTCTTCGATTATTTAGGGGTGATAAGATGGATTCGATGAAACTGGGATAGACAAAAAAAATGACAATTGAAGCAAAAGAAATAAGATGTGGTAGCATTTGCTTAACAGAAAATATCCCTTCTCAGATATGAAGGGTCCCCAAAAAATGCATATAGGCAACCCAAGTTATTACAATAATTGTTGTTGTTTCTGTTCTGCTGAGAATTATGAGGGAAAAAATTCATATACTACCTTGGCAAGCATTTTCTGTGATATGATGTTGGGCAACGTCTGCAAATTGCAAATTGCAAATCATGGATTTCCTTGTTTTCTCTTTTATTACAAACAGCGCATTTGTGGATGGGACATGTAAATGATTCCCCATCTTCAACTTTCTTCTGAAACTTTGTAGATTCTAGTTCACTGGCTGGAAACAGTAATTTTGCAACACACTTTGGATGATAGAAGTGACCGCATGTGGCAGATGCACAAGGAAAGACCTAAAAGAATTCAAAAGACAATATATGTTTAAAACTACATGCGATTTCTTCTCTGACAAATTTTCCTGCCTATGCTAAATTTTCATGTCTAAT